ACCCGGTGATCAGCGGCAGTCTGGTGCCGCACGTCTTTGCGCTGTCCGTTTTTGATGATTGGCTTTTCTGGACCGACTGGAACACTAAAGGCCTGGTTCGAGCGCACAAGTTCACCGGCGAGCGGTTCCAGGTGCTGCGAAACACCTCCCATCGACCGTATGACATTCACATCTACCACCCTCTGCGGCAGCTGCCCTATGATAATCCTTGTGGCGAGAACAATGGCGGTTGTTCGCACCTCTGTCTGATTGCCGCCGGTGGCCAGTCCGCCACCTGTGCCTGTCCGAATAACTTTGTCTTGCTGCGGGACCAGAAGACGTGTGTGGCCAACTGCACTCGAGGGCAGCATCGATGTGGCTCACCTGACGACCGGTGCATTCCCGTTTTCTGGACCTGTGATGGTAATTTCAGTGTTATCTTGTGCAACTACTGCCTACTTTCATGCTGATTCTCTGCCCTTTAGGTGACCGTGATTGCCGTGACGGCGGAAGTGACGAGATGAACTGTCCGCCCTTCCACTGCAAGCCGGGCATGTTCCAGTGTCGGAACAACCAAACGTGCATCTCGAGGGTCCGCATTTGTGACGGCAGGGCGGACTGCTCTGACTCGTCAGATGAGAGTTTCTGCGATACTGACTGTGGAGAGCACAGTTTCAAGTGCAAAAAGTCCGGCCGATGCGTGCCCAGCTCCTGGCAGTGTGATGGTAATTATGATTGGCTTTTGATTGGGCACTTTTTAAACTCTTTTTGTGACAGGTGACGCTGATTGCTCTGATAACAGCGACGAAGATCCGGCAGACTGCCACAAGGGGGAATGCGATCCCGACACGCAGTTCAAGTGCGACAACGGAAAGTGCATCCCGAAGCTGTGGAAATGTGACCAGATGGACGATTGCGGTAATTAGTGTAAACAAGACTATAAGTAACCTACTAAATACTAATTTAACAAACAGGCGACAACTCAGATGAGCCAGCGTACCTGTGCCGCAACCAGAACTGCAGTACTGGGTGGTTGAAGTGTCCCTCCCGACTGAACTACCGATGCATTCCAAGGCAAGCATGTACTTTCAGTCTAAAAATTACTAATTCGTTTTTTGTAGCTGGCTCTTTTGTAACGATNTGGACGATTGCGGTAATTAGTGTAAACAAGACTATAAGTAACCTACTAAACACTAATTTAACAAACAGGCGACAACTCAGATGAGCCAGCGTACCTGTGCCGCAACCAGAACTGCAGTACTGGGTGGCTGAAGTGTCCCTCCCGACTGAACTACCGATGCATTCCAAGGCAAGCATGTACTTTCAGTCTAAAAATTACTAACTCGTTTTTTGTAGCTGGCTTTTCTGTAACGACNAGGCAAGCATGTACTTTCAGTCTAAAAATTACTAACTCGTTTTTTGTAGCTGGCTCTTTTGTAACGATCAAAACGACTGCCTCGACAATGGAGACGAGACTCACCCTGAGTTGTGCCCGAAGTGCCACAACACCGGTGATTTTAAGTGCAAGAACGACCGCTGCATTCCGATGAGGTGGCGCTGTGATTTTGAAGATGATTGTGGTATATATGCGCTACAAGTAATCTAATGAATACTAAAATTGTACATTCTTTCAGGTGATTCTAGCGACGAAGATCCGACAATGTGCGCCGATCTGTACCGCGAGTGTTCGGAGAGTGAGTTTCAGTGCGGAAACAAAAAGTGCATTCCTTCGAGATGGCGATGCGACCATGACAGTAATTATGATTGGTTTTTCAATCGGACATTTCTTTAACCCTTTTTTATTAGCTGACTGCAGTGACGGGCTTGATGAGAAACAGTGCCAGGACTACCAGTGCAAGGCCGACCAGTTCAAGTGCAACTCGGGGCACTGCATTTCGTAAGTGGGAACATTGATGTAGGTGTTAAATTAATCAAGTAACTTTTTCTAAACAGGAAAAAACTCGTCTGCGATGGCTCAAAAGACTGCCTCATGGACGTATCAGACGAGCTAAACTGCCCACCTCGATATCCCAATGGTCGCCACTGTCCGGAGAACCTCTTCCAGTGCAACAACACGGTCTGTCTGCGGCATGACTTCCTCTGCGACGGTGATGACGGTAATTATGATTGGGTTTCTAATCGGACACTTCTCTAACCTATATTTCCACTAGGGGATTGTGGTGGCGGTGACACTAGCGATGAAGCAGAGGAGATGTGCTCGCAGTTTGAGTGTGATCCCTCAAAGAAGTTCCAGTGCACCAACAAAAAGTGCATTCCGTTGTGGCAAATCTGCAATGGATTCGATGAATGCGGTATGTGTGCTGAGGATGTTGCTCATTTTTGCCACAGTTTTTAACAAAACCATTTGCAGGCGACGGAAGTGACGAGAACAATCACACCCTCTGTCGGCGCTACCCGATGCCCTGTCTGCCAACGCAGTACAAGTGTGCTAACGACAGATGCATTGAGATGAACAAAATGTGCGATCATTCCGACAATTGCGGTGATTTTTCGGATGAGAGAGGCTGCCATAAGGGCACCTGTGACGCACTGACCAGAGGTGGTTGTCAGCACAACTGCTCAGTGGTTGACGAAGGTGCTTACATTTGCGTCTGTCCAAGGTGGGTGATCCAGAAATGGTGAAAATGGTTAAAACTAAATCGATTTTTGTTTACAGAGGATACGCCGTGGACGAGGCGAATCCGAAGACTTGCAAGGACATCAACGAGTGCGCCACTTTTGGCGGTCACAATTGCTCTCAGATATGCATCAACCTGGAGGGCACGTACGCCTGCAGCTGTAAGGCCGGTTTCGACCTGGTGGAGGATCGCTGCGTGGCACAGGGAAAGGCGGGGCCCGTAATACTGTACTCTGACGGACCGGAGATTCGCTCACTGGANCAGATATGCATCAACCTGGAGGGCACGTACGCCTGCAGCTGTAAGGCCGGTTTCGACCTGGTGGAGGATCGCTGCGTGGCACAGGGAAAGGCGGGGCCCGTAATACTGTACTCTGACGGACCGGAGATTCGCTCACTGGAGTCGGCGGCGGCCAACCAGCTGCAGTCCTCGGTCGTGTCAGGGGAGACGAGAATACAGTCGGTGGACTACGATCCCACCACAAAGATCGTCTACTGGGCGGACTCCTATGATCTGTCCATCAAGCGAGCAGTGCTGCCCAATCTGGAGGACGTCTCGCACGGCATGGCCTTCTCGCAGGACATCAAACTGAAGGACGCCAAGAGCAAGCCGGTGGATTTGGCCGTCGACTGGGTGGCGAAGAACCTCTACTGGGCAGACGTTGATGCCAGCGGAATGAAACCTCATGGACGCATTCTCACCAGTCTTCTCGACGGAAGGTACAAGCGATCGCTGGTCACTGCGGACCTAGAGCGACCCACTTCGCTGGTCGTGGATCCTGAATTTGGGTATGCTCTCACTTTCTATTGTTGTTGCTTTAGTTTAGTAACCCTAATGTGCTTTATCAGATTGATGATTTGGGCCGACGGCGGTTCGAGTCCAAAGATTGAAAGCAGCTGGATGGACGGCACGAAGCGTCGAGCAGTGGTCAGCGAGAAGCTGGGCACACCTTCCGGTCTGGTAGTGGACTACGCCGCCGGCCACCGACTGTACTGGTGTGACGCCAAGCTGAACACCATCGAGTCAATAAACCTCGATGGCAGCAATCGGGTGACAGTAGCGCACGGTGAGCTGCATCATCCCACCAGTTTGGATCTCTTCGAGGATCAACTGT